CGTTGCAGAGCAACCAAATGGATTGAAACCATCTGTATAGAGGGCAAGTTTAACATTTCTAGGTTCATCAGCAAATGTTGGGTGGGTTTCATCAAAGTGTTTCCATGCCTCACTACCCGCAGGATGAATAACTTCATCCGCATCCTCATGGCATTTCAAATGCCATGTCATGTGCTCTGCTGTTTTTCTAGACATGTATAGTCGTTGCAATCTTGGGGTAATTGGAAGGTACCACAAAGATTTCCTTGGAACATCTTTTTGCCTTATAGCAGACATATTCCTTGGCTCATAATGAGATTCTCCACATACTGGACAAGCAATTAAATTCTTACTTTGCTCATCATAGTACAAGAAACAATCATTGACACAAATATCAATTTTCTTGTACCCAAGTCCAAGCACATTTATCATTTTTTTTTGCACTATAGAAATCCTTTGGCACCTTTTCTTGGTCCTCTGGACTCAACAACTTTCGACTCAATGACAATGCCATTTCCCAATTAGCAGCACTCATATTATAAAGAGTTTTCATGTTTAGCATTTCTGCCATCCATGAAAGTACTGTAACATTCTGTCCCCCAGCACTTATATGGACTTCTACAGCATGCAAGAGATCATAAAATTCTCTTGCCTTACTATTTAGCTCCTCAGCCATTGGCCCGTCATTGTATTCAGACTGTGCACCCATTGCATCAACTACCATTTCATGGTATAATGCATCTACCTCATTTCTAATAAACTCCATATTAGAAGATTCCCTTTCAAAGTTTCTTACTGTATTACTAGATGTCTCTCCATGAACATACCATGTATAATAGTTATTCATAAACCCATACTTACACAAATGCACAGAGACAACCTTAGGATTTCCCCATTTTCTACATTTACATTTCAAACAAGGACACTTAATCTCTAATTTTGCTCTCGGTCTTGAAAATGCAAATCTCACAAAAAATTGCACCCCCTCTTTAAATTCATCAGTAACAAAACCACTATCATCCACACGACGATCTATCCAACTACGGTCATCCATCATTTAATTACCTAATTTGAATTTCAATTTGACA